TTTTTGTATAAAGTTTACTTCAACACTATAAAACACTGGAGTWATTAAATTTGTCTTACTTTTTTAAGGAATTAAATATTTATCACAAACTAATTTAGTTAATTAAAAAAATGTTTATATTTATTAGAGCAAAATCTCGTAGAAAAGAATTAATTCTAAAAATAGGCTTTGTCATGCTCTATAAATGGTAGAATATTCCTCTTATTTCCAATTACCGGAGAAAGTAGTTTTTGTCACAAAAGGACTAAAAACTTGATCAATTCCTCTCACACGATCTAATTTACCAAAGTGAGGGCATGACTCGTAAAAAATAAAACCCTAGTATTATAGAAAACTTATTTAATTAAGTAAAAAAAAAAAATTAACAAATAAAAAACAACAACAAATGAGAAATGACTATGAAAGATGATGGTAACAGCCTTGCATTTTTGGATCAGTGCTTGCTATGATGATAGATGGTCTTGTAGACGGGCACTTTAACAGGAACGGGCTTGGGTATGGGTATTTGTATGTGTTTTTCGACTGGTACCGGTACCGGTTTTTCCACGTGGTAATGCACCTCTTTTTCGACCTTAAATGGTACTGGTTTTTCCACCGGCACGGTGATGGTCTTGATGACGGGTACTGCGACGGGCTGGGGCACGTGCACGTGGACGGGGTAGGGCTGGGGGACGGGTACCGCGACTGGTTTTGGTACCGGAACCGGAACCGCATGCGGGATGGGTACGCTGACGTGCTGATAAACTGGAACTGGAACTGGTTTGTGGATTTCGACAGTGTGAGAGATGTCGTGGCCGCCTCCGTAGCCGCCTTCCTCATGGCCGCCGCCGCCTCCGCCGTAACTGCTCGAGAAACCGGCATTTACGGTGGCAAAAGCGCAAAGGAGTGCTACGCATACCTGTACCAAAATTTATTATTATTTTTTTTAATTATTAAACTAAAACACTTACAAAGGACTTCATTGTACACTGGCTTGGGTTTTGTGTAAAATGAAATGAAAGAAGATTAATGCAGTTTGTTGGACTGATGAATGAATTGGGGAGTTTGGAGTTTATATACTCGACAATGTCAAGGTACTTTCACTATGTCCCCCTCTTTAGTTGCGTCCGAAGATGAATTTTTGGTTCCGGTCCTGAACAAAGACGATTCTTATAACGGTTAAAACTAATAGTAACCAAAAAAAGTAATTAATTTCACATCGTCGAGTTAAATTAATCTACAAGGTGAGTATAAATGATTGTAGCAAAAGAAAACAATTGGCACCACTGAATTGTTGGTGATTTTTATAGTCGTGTACAATCATGTGTTGTTTGAATTTTATAGTCAATGTTGCGAAATTAAAGTTTTAAAGTTGCCAAAGTGACCCCAAAAATCACAATCATTTACAGTCACTTTGTGTAATAAAAACTAAACAAACGTTTGTGTTTTGTGTTTTTTTACAAGAAAATTAATAAGAAAAAAACTCTTTTCTCGTTAAAAAAATGTAAAAATTAACAATAATATATTAGATTTCGTTGGTAAATTAAAATTTCGACCTGTGGTCAAAAATCGCAATTATTTACATTCACCCTGTATATCAAAAAAATATTACTTTGAAAAAAAAACATTTAACTGGAATTTCGTTTTACTATAATTAAAGGCAAAAAACGGGCATTGAGCAAACTACATTAAAACAAAAATCTCAAATTTTCAAGTAATTTTTTTCGTTGATTTTTGTGCAAAAAATGAGTTTGCCACTAAATTAAAAAACTTAGCGATCTTAACAGAAAATTATGTTGAAAAAATCTATAATCTATAAAATAATTAACCAGTTTTATATATTTTTCCTCATATTCAACCAACATTTTGTTCTATTTTAGATTTGTAGATATTTTTGTGATCAATTAATTAATTTAAATTTAATTTAATTATTTTTTTTTAATAATTTTTTATTTATACTTGTTTTATTTTTTATTTTTTCATCAAGAAACTAATAAAATCCAATGTTTTAATATCTGTTTTAATTTGCATTGGCAGTGAATATCCCTAGGAATTTGTTAAATTTGCAATTTTAGAAAATTTTGAAAAAAAATTGTAAAAAGGAAACAAAAACGAATTTTCAAAAAAACCTAAAGTGTAAAATTTGTAAAATCGTATTAAAACATTCAAATTTAACAAATAGTAACCAAAAAAAGTAATTAATTTCACATCGTCGAGTTAAATTAATCTACAAGGTGAGTATAAATGATTGTAGCAAAAGAAAACAATTTGCACCATTGAATTGTTGGGGATTTTTATAGTCGTGTACAATCATGTGTTGTTTGAATTTTATACTCAAAGTTGCGAAATTAAAGTTTTAAAGTTGCCAAAGTGACCCCAAAAATCACAATCATTTACAGTCACCCTGTGTATTAAAAACTAAACAAACTCTTTCCTTATTAAAAAAAACAATAATAATTTTTGTGGTCAAAAATTGCAATCAATAATTTTAAAAAATGATTTTTTTAAATTAGAGTGACCGGAAAGGTCGTATTACCAACCTTAGAATCCAAAAAGTTGCACACTGCCAATTGTTACTTAATTTATGGCAAAAAATCAGTTGGTGATACTGAATTTTTGATGATTTTTCTAATTTCTTATAAGAATGTGATGTTTGAATTTTGTAGTCAAAGCTGTCAAATTAAAATTTCAAATTTGTTGCCAACCTGATGACAAAACTCAATCATTTAGAGTCACCCTTTATTTTATTCGATTATTTTTTATAAATTGCTTCCTTTTTTCTGATTTTTGAACATACTACTCGAATTTCAAAGATTTTTTAAGATCAATTTACAATGAAACATTTTTCTATTTGGCGTCCATAATGATTTTATTAAAACATCAAAAACAGTGTTTTAATAAAAGCTGATAAAATATGGTTTTTGGTTATATTTTTTTTATCACCAACAATCAGAACAGACGAATACCAACCTACAAAAATCCTCTAATTTTCTCAAGAAAAATTTTCATAAAATTATGACAGAACAAAGTAGAAAAAATACTATATAAAATACGGTTTTATAAAATCTATATAATTTTTTATTTACTTGTTTAATTTTTTTTTCATCGGGAAACTAATAAATTCCAATGATTTAATATCTGTGAATCTGTGAATGTCCCCCGCAATTTGTAAAATTTGAGAAAATTTTGAAAAAAAAAACGAAATTAAATAAAAAAGCCTAAAATATGTCAAAGAAAGAAATAGAAAAATATTAATAGAAAGTCTTTAAATAATTAAAAATTATCAGTACTMCTACTAATTTTTAGTAATTTCAACAGAAATAATTTATATTCGAATTTTTTATAATTTTAATAATTTTTTATTTATACTTGCTTTATTTTTTTTTCATCAAAAAACAAATAAAATCAATGTTTTAATATCTGTTTTAAATTGCATTGACAGTGAATGTCCCTAGCAATTTGTTAAATTTGAAATTTTAGAAAATTAAAAAAAAAACGAATTTTCAAAAAAAAATCAAAGTGTAAAATTCGTAAAATCATTACAAAAGCTTCCAAATAAAATATTATTACGTTAACAAAACAAGTTATATTTGTATATTAAAAAAATTAGTTAAATCAAAAATTTACATGTGGCGGATTTTTTAACCACAAAAATATCAACAAAATATTATTGAAAACTAATAAATCGAGAAACTAATAAAATCCAATGATTTATTATCTGTGAATCTGTGAATGTCCCTAGCAATTTATAAAATTTGAAATTTGAGAAAATTTTGAATAAGAAAACAGTAAAAATAAAACGAAATTAAATGAGAAAGCCTAAAATATGTCAAATAAAAGGAAATGGCAAAATAAAGAAAGTCTTTAAAATAATTAAAAATTATCAAAATATCTGTTTCATTTAAACAGAAATAAACTAAATTAAATCAGAATTTGGCTTACTCGTATTTTTATTATTTTATTAAAAAAATACAATTAATTTTGCAGATTTTGAAAGCATAACAAATTTTTTAATAAGCGACTAAAAGGAATTGGACCATCCTACATTGAATTAAAAATTTTAATTTTATAAATACTTTGTCGGATTTTAACTTTGAATTAGAAAATGTATCGCATTTCTCTAATTTTCACTTCATTTACTCAATGGTCAGTATTGTTAATAATTATGCAGGAAATATGGTGAAATTATTCCATTCGAAAAATCTGTAAATTTTGCTCACTTTAAGTTTCTCTAATTTTAACCACTTAAAATAATCCAATCAATTGTGATTGTTTTTTTTGGTCAAGGTCGCACAAAAAGTTCAATATTTATCATAATTAACCATTTTTTTTGTGGAAAGTCGTATCGCTTTTTTAAAATTTTGATAATTTTGAAAGTTTGTCTCCGATCGTGACAAAATCTCCGGTCAAACAAATTAGAAAGTTTGAAGATGTTAAAATTAGAAAAAATAATGTGTTCAAGATGCACGCTTCTGTTAACAATGACGATAATTAGTGAAGATTTTTGACCGTGACGACGAATTTGAATTTTGCGAATCAACGACCGTTCTTGACACCTCTTTGATTTAATTTTTTTTTTGCAAATAGTGATTGAAAGGCGAAGGTCGGTTGCGGTCATTTTGCTATTCGAAAGGTTTGGTGGTCTTTTATACAAAACGTAGAATAATTACGTTCATCTGTGATGAAGCCCTGCCCAACATTCACCACTTTTACTCTGCACTCCAGCATTGAATAATATTTTACTTTCACTGCTGTAATTCGTATTGACATGGGTTTTGTTGTCCATTACCAACTGTCTCAAGTTCACAAAACGCTAAATGTTGGTAATAAATCACTTTTTATTTTTTTTAAATATATACAAGGTGTCCCGAAAAAAATTTGAATTTGAGTTGAAAAAGTCCATTAGTGACCTTTAAATGGTAAAATTAAAAAAAATTGTATAGGACATTGATCTAGTGCAATTATTTTCAACCATACAGCATGGCCCAAAAATAAGTTACAATACAAACTTGTGTTTTTTTAAATAAAAAGCAAAATGTGTCTTTGCATTTTTGGATATTTGTTTGTTGGATTTTGTTAAAGTCTTACCAAAATTTAGCTTGAAATTAAGCCTCAAATGACCAAATTCTACCAAAAATGATGCGATTTATGAATTTTTGACTATTTGAGTAGGTTTTTGGGTTAGTTTTCACAATAGACCGAAAAAATCACTAAATTCGACATATTTTGAAGTGTTTTATTGCAATAAAACAAGTCAAAAAATCACCAGATTAAATGAAAATAATGATATTTTTTCTTTTTCCAATATTCAACTAAAAACATATTTTTTTACTCA